TGGGATTGCTAGGTCATATGCCAAGTGCATGTTAACTTTATTAGAAAAAAAACTCAGATTTTTCCAGAAGGCTGATCATTTTGCATTTCCACCTGCAATGCATGAATTCAGTTGCTCTAAAACCTCACCAGCATGCAGAATTGTCTGTTATTTTTAAGGATATTACTTTAACTTTTCTAATGGATGTGCAGTAGGATCGCATTTGGCTTTTAATTTGTTTTTCCATAGTGGTGGCTAATGATGTTGAACATCATTTCATGTGTTTGTTATTTGTATGTAGTCTTTGGTTAAGTGTCTGTTGATTCTTTTTTGCCTACTTTTTTTAATTGGGGTGTTTGTTGAGTTTTGAGAATTCTTTATATATTTATATATAAGTCTGGATTCAAATTGTTTGTCAGATATGTGATTTGCAAATATTTTCTCTCCGTGGTTTGTCTTTTCACTCTCTTAATAGTGTCTTTCATGGAGCAAATGCTTTAAATTTTGTTAAGATTTAATTTTTTCTTTTATCTATTTTCTTTTGGGATTGTAGCTGAGAAGTTTTTGCCTAACCAAAGGTCACAAAGAATTTTTCCTATGTTTTCTTCTCAAGGTTTTATAGGTTTACATTGTATGTTTTGGTGTATGATCCATTTTGAGTTAATTTTTGTTTAATGTGTGAGGAATGAGTTGAGGTTCATTTTTATTTTTATTTTGCAAATGGGTACTCCAGTCAACCCGCTTCCGTTTGTTGAAAAGATTATGCTTTCTCCAATGTACTGCCTTTGCACCTTTACCAGAAATCAATTGAACATATTTGTAGGTTTTTTTTTTAACTGTCTTTTTTTCTATAGAACTATGTTTTATGTTGGTATCCTTCTCCAATGCCACATTGTCTTAGTGTAGCTTAGTAGTAAGTCTTGAAATCAAGTAATGTGAGATCTCCAACTTTGTTCTTCTGTTTCCATTTGTTTTAATTATTCTCGTTCCTTTGATTTTCATATAAATTTTAGAATTAACTTATCAATACCTACAAAAAATTATGCCAGGATTTTTATTTGGATTGAGTTGTATCTTTAGATCAGTTTGAGAGAATAACATTTAACGATATTCAGTCTTCAAATTCAGGAACATGTTAGAGCTCTCCATTTATTGAGGTAGGTATTCATTTGACTGTGTGTGTGTGTGTCTGTGTGTGTGTGTGTGTCTGTGTGTGTGTGTGTGTGTGTCTGTGTGTCTGTGTGTGTGTGTTGTTCTAAAGAGATAAGACAGGGATTTAAAAAATAAAGACAAGAAATTCATCCTAGTGGTTTCTCTTCACATTTTTAGTCCCTCCCCGATCTGCATACTATTGTTCACCTTGCACCGCCCTCAGGTAGTTGCATTTTATTCTTTCCAGAGTCTTCAGTTGTAATTAGTGGGAGAGAGAGCCTGTAGTGACCTTACTCCAACTTGCTCAGCATCAGAAGTCAATTGACTTTTATTCTGACAGTCTAAACCCTTCTTGACTGGTGATGACATGGCTCATGGAGCACCCAGAAACAGATTTTATGGGGTTTTCCAGTCTGAATAAAGCTACTCTGAGACACACAAGTGGGGTTGGTTAACTGTAACTGATATGCTTTCAATATGTAAATTCAAAGCATTTATCTAGACTGGATGAGGGCCTAAGAGAGAGGGTGGAACAGAGGACCACTCTTTGCTTTTATCCCCAGTAACATTTATTTAGATTCAAGAGCTTCTTCCTTCTTGACAGTGTCATGATGTGTAATTTAAAACTAAATGAAATGAAAATTGATGTGACAGTTTGCAGAATCACCAGAGTTTGTCTGGGAGCATTTCTTAGCAGGCATTGCCTTGCTGACAAGTAACAGGAGTTAATGTATGACACAGGATCTAATGATATTATCATTTATATAGCCCCAAAGAGAATATAATTTCCTGTGTTCAAGCACATCTCAGCTGATTGATAAACTCCAGCACCTTCCAAATAGTATTTTCTCCCCTAAATCATAAAAGGCTTATTATAAAAGCAGATTAAATGGCTTCATCATCTAATAGGGATAACAATCAAATTTTCCATTTTATCTCCAAAAATTAGAGGTCACTAAATGTGTTCTCTCAAGCACAATATTGATTGCCCATTTTATTTCTTATGTTCTAGTTTTAGGCACTTTGTAACATAGACGCATGCAAAAAATGTATCTGGTCTGTTTTCTAGTTATATAATTCATAAGTCTCTTATTCATGAGCTTTTATCATAAATCATGAAGCTATTCTAGACATTGTCAGACAAATTCTTTACTAAAGCAGAGTGTTGCAGAATAGTCCAGAGAATTAATGTCTGCTAAAGTAAAATTTACGTACAATTATTTGATATGCCCTTAGAATATTAATACATCTCTTGTTAAAAGAGAAGTTTGATTTTAAATTTAGAATAAATGCCTTACTCTGACGTCTAAATGAAGCCAAAATTTGTATGTTTGTGAAACCATGGGAAATACCTAAATTTTTATAGGGAAAATTATGTTTTTGTGTGAAAACTATTCAATATTTTTAGCAAATAACATCTTAGAAGTTTTATTTTAAAATTGCATAACCAAATTAAGATGAATAAATCTCAGCACAGACTGAAAAAGCTGGTTGACATGTGAATCTTATACATAAAAGTGTCCAGATATATGTGGAAATACATATCTATTGGACATTCATTCATTCAGTCAGTCAGGCACTGTTTGTGCCTCAGGCACTGTACTAGGCTCTCAGGTTGCAGAGATGACTAAAAGATGAATCTAGTTTATGAGAAGCCCCCAAGTAGGGCATTGTGAACTCTGATTTTAAAATAGAATTGGAAATTATTCTTTTCAAATGAATAGTTGGTCCTTCATTTAGTCATTCAAATGAGGGTGATAGAGCAATTATATTGCACCCAAAGGCCTCTAATGGATAATAAATGTCACATTATGTATGTAAATGCTTTATTCATAGCATATAGCTTTTTGTAGTTTACAAATTGCATTTGAGTTATACATTTAATTCTCATCATAATCTTTAGGTTGGATCAGGCATGTATTAAAAATCTCATTTATAGGTAATGTAACTGAAGCACAAAGAACTTATATAAATTTATACCCTAAGAGGAATTGATGAATTCAAATTGTTGTGCTGGCAAAGAATATTGAGTCTACTGTGGACTGCCAGAAGAATGAACAAATCAGTTTTAGAAGAAATGCAACCAGAATGCTCTTTCAAAACAAGGATGGTGAGACTTTGGCTCACTTGCTTTGGACACATCATCAGGAAAGGCCAATTGCTAGAAAAGGACATCATAGTTGGTAAAGTAGAGGGTCTGGGAAAAGGAGTGAACGCCTCAATGAGATGGATTGATACAATGCCCAAAACAATGGACCCATACATACGATTGGTCATGAAGATCAGACAGGACCAGTTAACATTTAATTCTGTTATACACAAGGTCACCATGAGTTGGAGCTGACTTGACAGCAACTAACAAACTTGGGAAATGGTAGAGCTGGGATTCCAAGACCAGTACTCACTACATAGCAACCCACTGTTTCTAAAAAGTTAAGAGCCCAGTCTGAGTTATTAGTATAGCTAATACTATATATACATATACATATATATTCATATGTGTGTGTATATTATATATATGTATATGTATACACATATATATCTATGTTTTTATTTATTAATATACTTAGATAGCTGGGAGGCAAAGTCAGTGTCAGAATAAATGTCACCTCCCCTGGAAAACCTACTTTATCAACCAGACTGATTAGGATTCGTATTTACAAACTCTCACAATTACTACTGTAATAAATGACAAACTTTGCAACAAACTATTTTATATTTGCATTCCCTAATAAAGGGTAAACTTCATGAGGTTAAATTTCTTTACTGCTCCATTTCCTCTCACCCTGTGTATCACTGGGCTTTTGCCAGTAGGGTCCTTTTCTATTCTTCAAACATGCCAAGCATTTGCAGTTTATTTTCCTCTGCTTAGAATGTTCTTCCCAGATATTCAGTAGTTTTGGCCCTTATCTTGTCTCAGCACAAATGCCAATTCCTTCAAGAGGCTTTTTCTTTCTTCTACCATTCCAGCTAACTATTTAGTACCTTGCTGTATTTACTTCATAGAATATAGCATATTTGACATTAGTTAGTTCATTTATTGGTGCTTTGTTTATAAATTTCCTAAGAGCAGGCATATGATGATCTGTCTTGTTTACTACTTCTATCCCAACACCTAAACAGCACCTATCACATACTAGATATAAAATAAACATTTGTTGAATGAATAAATGGAAGGATTAATGAATGAAATTGTGTTTGATGTGCTAGCGTTTTAAGTACACATAAAAACAAATATATGTATATATATACACACGCACACATATAAATATATAACACACACACACACACACACACACACACATATATAGTTATACATACCCTTTGTTGTTGTTAGGTGCTGTCAAGTCAGTTCCTCCTCATAAACACCCTATGTAAAACAGAATCAAACACTGTGTGGTCCTGAACCATCCTCACGTTCATTGCTGTGTTTGAGCCCATTGTTGCAGCCACTGTGTCAATCCATCTCATTGAAGGTCTTCCTCTTTTATGTAGTGTTTTTGTCCTGCCTTAAAACAACCTGTGTACCTCACTTTGGGAAACACAAATTAATTATTGAGAAATTATTCCTTAATATCTTTCTTCCTGGTAGTGTATAATAAACTTCATGAAGATATAATCTTTTCATTTCTGTATTCACAGTGCCTACCACAGAACCTGGGAGTATAATAGATGCTCAGTAAGAATGGCCTGGAGTATAATAGATGCTCAGTAAAAATAAATTAATGATTTTCTATATGCAAATAGTACAGTGTGTGTATATGTTTATAGTGTATTTTCTTTTCATATTAACACTGAATTATTTATTTGCCTTTCTCCCAAGTCTGTTTGGGTACAAAATAATAGTTGTTTTCTTCTCACATTCACAGGATTACACCTTGACAATGTACTTTCAGCAAGCCTGGAGAGATAAGAGGCTCTCCTATAATGTAATACCTTTAAACTTGACTCTGGACAATAGAGTGGCAGACCAACTCTGGGTGCCTGATACCTATTTCCTGAATGATAAGAAGTCATTTGTGCATGGAGTGACTGTCAAGAACCGAATGATACGCCTGCATCCAGATGGGACCGTCCTTTATGGTCTCAGGTCTGTACATAATTTTAAAATTTAACTTTTCTTGAAAAAAATAGCTACTGTTTTTTTATTGGAGGGGAGTATTGTGCTGTTTTCCTTACTCCTCTTTCAGTTCTGCTGACACAGAGTTAAACCCTCTTTCCAGTAGATATGGGAGTTTAGGGTAGCATGTTTACAAAGGGCCTTAACCCCCAGCTAAGGCTGTTTTTCTGAATTATCTTCCAACATCAGCGGCTGATCTGAAAGCTGCTTTCTTTAAAGAGTAGGGATAAATAATATCAAAACAGCTGAGATGCAGGCCTTCTTTAAAATGGAAAAAAATATATGAATGCCAAATAATTGTTCAAACATGACAGATGCTTTCTTATAAATTGCTCCTGAGCTTCCTGAACTGGGTCATGGTCCTCTGATGAGAGGAAGGCTTATTGTGCCCTCTCACCCTCTGAGGAGCTATTAGACTTGCAAATAAATAAAGTAGCTATCTCATGTTTATTAATGATGAATTTACACTATTAAATGTACTGCTATGTCAGGAAAGAATTGTGATGCTCTGCCATTTGGGTGAGCAAGAATTAAAATAAGGCAGTTTCTTCTTTTAAAGTGTGTTCTGTATTGGAAGCAATAGATAGTTTTCTGAAAAAAAAATGAAAATAATATCCCTCTTACTCTGAAAACATTACAATAATAAAGGTTCTTCTGCATCACATGAGAGGAAATTCTAAATTCTGAACTTTTCAATATTGTTCTATATTGTTTTACATAGTAATGTGATTGTGTTATCATGACAATGATGATAATAACAATAGTGTTATATATGTATTGAACATTTTTTAGAGGGAGGCACTGTGCTAAGTGCTTTTCATACATTATTATAGATATTCCTTACAATACCCCTGTAAGTTAGGAGCTGTTAGGATCTGTGTTTTTAAATGGAGGAACTGAAGTTTACGCAACTTGCCCAGGATCACAAAGGAAGTAAGCTGTGGAGATGGGATTTGATCTCTGTTCCAAGTTTGGAGCCAGAGCTCTTAACTATTGTGCTGGAATTCCTCTCACGCTCACATTTTTCTGATCGGTTGTATCTCATTTTCCTTATCTGCTGTATTCAGTGCACTTTTTCTTTGTTTGCGTGTCACATTTGCAGGGAAAATGGTACTTGACTATTGAGGGAGGGAGGGAAAGGAATAGAGGAAGAGGCAGGGAGAGAGAGAGCATACTTGCCCTGTATGTCAAGCTCTGGAGGTGAATGGTTGAATTAGACACAGTTACTGCTCACAAGCATGCCTTGGGAAATAAACAGCAAAGTACCATACAGAGGAGTATGGAGATGCTCAGAGGATACAGAAGAGAGAAAAAAGAAGTTGATGGGAAAAGTCTGGAAAGATTCCACCAAAGGTGTGGACTTTAAAAATACTAATGGAAAGAATCATGTTAAACAGATATACCATACGACCCTATCCCTTAGAATTGACTACAAAACACATGGAATCACAAAGACCTTGTTGAGAGAGTGACCATGTGGGCAGTAGAGAAGAGGGGAAACAAAAAGAGCTTCTGCTACATGCTTTTTTAAAAGTTAAGCATGAAGAGATATAAAAACCTTGAAGAAGGCAAAAGGAGGCATAGGAATTAATGAGTTACTCATTCAGCAGTGAAGGGGCAAGGAGGACTGACAGCCAGCTAGTTTTGACTAAGCCCCAGACCCAGTACTGGGTGCATTTTGTACATTGAATTATTTAATCTTCACAGCACTCATACAAAAACAACCCTGTGTTCTTCCTGCTTCCCTGGGATAACTACCTTGAGGGCAGATACTATGTCATTTTCTTCTTTTTTTAACCAGCACTGACAAAGCACCTACCCTGTGAATAGCAACTCAGCAAAAGCTTGTGAAGGAACTTAATGAATGTACATATGCAGAGTTGAGTGGATGAGAAAATCAACATTCAAATAAGCAGAATGCCTTTGAGCTTGAAGATGGAAAAGGAAGGACCAATGTAGATGACAAATTGGCTTCTTTATGTCATCAAGCCATTAGTCAGACAAAAAAATTGGTGATTGTTGACTTTTATCATTAAGACCAGTTGGATCCCATCCTTGTGCCTTGAACTCACAAAAGTAGAAAATCATTGCCTTCCTGTCCCCACTTCAGTGAGGGCTGCTGACAAAATGTGTAGGTTCCTGAACATATGTGGCATGCATAAAATTAACACTTCTGGACCGAGCAGGCTCATAAATTGTGATTGTTCTCCCAGTTGTTTTGTTAATCCGAACGTGAAATTGATAAGAAGGTTTTTAGGAAATGTCTGAATGTTCAATCTCAGTTTTTACTGAAAAATAGTAGAACAATTCATTTCTTAGGTATAAGTTTAATGCAGACCAGATATTCCCTTATGAGCTCCAGAAGATTCATTTGCAATGGATAAGTGTGAAAAAATGCAATCAAAATTACCATTGCCAAGGTTGATTCTTCCTATTTAGCTGCCCCTCTTGCCCCCATTATTTTCTTTTGTCGACAGTCTAGTAAGAATGTTACCTCGTGCCTATGTTCAGACAGTGGCTGTGTTGAAGCAACATGTAAAATAGTAATAATATTAATATCTGTAGGTAGTCCTCTTTAAAGGGCTTAGCATGTAGACATCACTGTGCCACAAACTTTACTTATATTATCTCATTTTATATTGACAGTTGCTGTACAAAGCAGGTACTATTATATTCTCCATCTTACATAAAAAACTAAGAAACTTGTGTACAAAGTTGCATAGCTACTGCACAGGACAGCATAGCCTGCTTAATGCATGGACTTAGCTCTTTATTACCATTCTGCCCTACACATTACGTACTGGCCAGATGGGAGTAAAGAACAGAAAGCACCAAAGTGCACACAGGAAAAAAGAAATATATATATATATATATATATATATACATATATGTATATATATACACATACATATATATAAAGAATGCAAAGAAAGGTTAGATAAAAATAGCTTTCATTAGATTTATGGATACAGACTTTTTCTTTATTGATAAAATAAGATCTTAAAGAACAGCAGGCCTGAGTCTTCTATGGAAGGTGAATCTTTCAGTCCTGAGGTTCACACCATCCCAGTTTACTAAGCAAAGATATTTGCTGTGGGGATTCCTGGGGCATACACAAGATCATTGTAAAGGACTTGGTTCATTAGTCTGAATAAGGTAGGGTGAAAGACAACTATGACTATTTAGATGTAAAGACTTGTACAGTAAAGCTTTAAGTATCAGGGCAGTGATCAAAGAATTTGGGTAGGACAAGCCCTCCAAGCTGAATGTCATGAGTGCAAGTCAAAGGCAAAAGGCTCAAACTCTGCTCCTACTGAAAACCACAGAGACTGGTGGAGGGGTCCTAAGCTTCTTTTTTAGGGTTTTCTTCTGAGAAATTTTCAGATATTAAAGCATAATCAGATAGAGAAGGAGTATAGCAAAATAGTAACACTTGTTAAATTTTATGGTGGGTATAAGGGTGTTCATTGTGTTATTCCTTCAGGTTATCTGTATGTTTAAAAATTTTTATAATAAAATTCAGAAAAGAAAAAAAAAAATCAGGTTTCAGTAGCCAAAGAATCTCTGGTTCTATTATCTAGGAAATGTCACTCGAGGTTTAAAAGGTCTGCAGCCAAGGCATGAGATTTCTGATCTCTTGGAGGCAGGGAATCATCTGAATGCAGCGTCCGCTTGGAGTAGTGGGGTCATCTCATCTTGGAGGATGTGTGGCTCCATGGGTGGGATCCATGACCACAGACAGCAAGGCTAAACCATAATCCAGATGGGAGTGGTCAAAGCTCTTCAGCTAAAACCTTGATAACCTCCTTAGGAAACTGTCCCCTTTCAAGGGTCTGCCCATTACTTCTGACTACTCAGCAAGACCTCCGAGTGTAGTCCTGCTAATTAATATACTGTGTTGAGATGGCAAGGATTTTGAAGATAGCACACCAGCTGATCAGCAAGCTTGTGTTAAGGTGCAATATCCTTGGAGAGTATTCAGAAGATAAAGATGGAAATTTAGAAATATGGAACATACATGTAGGTGCTATTGTTAGTCATAAGAGCCTGGCTGCTAACCAAAAAGTCGGCAGTTTAAATCCACTAGCTCCTCGTTGGAAACCCTATGGGGCAGTTCTACTTTATCTTATAGGGTCGCTACGAGTCAGAAATGACTCAAAGACAATGGATTTTCGTTTTTATTGTGAGTCTAAGTTTGAACAGCCTAATTGGATCTTTGTTTCCCCATATCCAAAGCATAGGTTAACAGCTTACTCTCAGTTCTTTCATTGCATTTCAGGTTAATAATCATTTAAGAGGCTCAGGGAATGGAGTTCTAATACTGCACAGATACAGAAATACACACCACCGGGCAATGCTACCAACTTCCTTAAGAAGGGTAATGATAATGAACTTAGGTTTTCATTTGAACTTTTGTCACCAACTTCTTGTTGAACCTTGAGCATCTTCTGTATGTTTTCATTTCCCCATGTATAGAAAAGGAAAAGTGAATTAGATTGTATCATTTTTTTAAACAATCCAATCATCTTGTGAATCAATTGTCAATGAATGTAAAATAATTTATAACCTGAAATCAGAGAAAGTGAAGTATATGTTTGGAGTAGCACAGTAATTTATGGAGAGTAAGTGCTCAATGTTAATTAATATTTAATTAATAAATTAATGAATGGATGGGTAGGAAATTGTAACATTCCATCCCAGTTATTTTTTTGTTATTCTGTGAAGTAAGACACTGGTCATTTGTCTGGAATGAAAAGAGTGGATGGGAGGGAGTGAATTGAAGAGAGTGGAAAAGGTCTAGGTCAGGTACTTATAAAATAAAAAAAAAAAAAGTATTACTGAAGAAAAGTTATAAGATTGTCAAGAAATGTTGAAGATACAGTGGCTATAACAATGGGATCAAACATGGCAACCATTGTGAGGATGGCTCAGAACCGGGCAATGTTTCTGTTGGATCACCATTCTTTAGA